CCCTGGGGTCCTGACTTCTCCAGAGCTCAGAACTGTGCCGTGAAACAATTCTGGCATACCATTATTTACATTCAAAACTTGGAAAATGAGTGTCCGTTTCAAAATTTCCGTGAGGAACTATGTACAATCTACAGGTACTTGCAAAGGTCCATGTACTAGTTACATCTGTGCGTTGAGGTACATCTGAAGAAAACTTACCCTGCCTATTGGATTAATCTTTGTCTCTGAGTATGTTTAGTAAAATTTAAATTTGTAGTTTAGCTAACACAGGATTGCGAGTTCATAAACAGGAAATGTCCAAGAACTGTTGCTTTTTTTTTTCCTAACAACGTCATTAAACTATTATACTACAAATAACAGTTAAAGTAGAACAAAAAGAAGTAAAAAAATTGTCTACTTTTATTATGAAAGACAATAGATGTTGTTTAATTGGGCAGTAAAGGAACTATTTTCAGTGCTTCCTTTTGCTTCAAACAGGTGGCTCAAGCATGCTGTTTGGAGTTAATTTACAGTCAATTGATTCATGGCTAATAACTTAAAAATACTACGCTTCCTGAAAGTGTTATGGCCAAAATGTGGCAGTCGAGTCTGAAGCCTGAATTAAGTTACATTCTTTTTAAGGAACAAAAAGCACTGACAATTAACCAGACTGTATTTTCAAGATTTTAGCTGTGATTCATATGAGCAGTCCCAAGATAAAGTGGTTTCTTTGACATATTTATTATCTCTAGCGTGCATTAAAAAACCCGCCTTTCTGTACTGATGTAGGTATTCAGGTTAGGGGGCTTTTGCCTTCTCTCTCTCTCTCTCTCTCTCTCTCTCTCTGTCTCATGCGGATTTTTTTTTTTAACTGCTGTCATTATCCTTCGATTTTTAACTCTCATCCTCACTTCTTCTGGAAATTCAAAACACTGTGCAAATAAAACATTTAATTTTCATAGCATTTCTGTTAACTAAATATTTCCAATTGAGGCATTCCTCAGGTAGAAACCGTCATGAAATCTTGGCTTCACTGGAGTCAGCAGTATAACTCCTGTTGAGTCCAGCAGGATCACCATCCGATCCCCAGCTTCCCAGTTCATGTCTTGTCCCATTCAGTAATAAGCTGGGAGAAGGATTATGTCTATGATAAAGAATGTTCAGTCAATAGCTTTCCGTATCTTTCCTTCCCGTCTTGCAAGACTGGAGAATAAGAGCTTGTTTGCACTTAAATTACCTTTCTGCTGAGTGCCGTAGTTTCTCCAGTGAAAATGTGCTCCTGTATTTTATGTTACAGTGTAGATATGGATATGAACAACGAACCAACTTTAGCGTTTTTGTAGCAGAAAAAGAGGAAGGTAAGGGAGAAATCTTTTTTTGAACGATCTTTCAGGGATACTTTACAAAGTCAGCAAGGAAAATTCTGAAAATCCTAATAAGGTTTGAAAGTTTATGCATATTCTTATACATGAAAGAGCTTTTCCCTTCTGTGAAAGGCAGTCATTAGGCCTGTCAGGCTAGATCCTGCAGTGAGGGTTAAAAGGAATTTTCTCTAAGTAATTGTCACAGAACTGAGGATACAGACGTATCTTTCCAATATGCATTTATTCTAATGTTTCATTCAAAAGCAGTGTATTTTTTTTCTTCTTCTATTCATAAAGCCTCTGCCTCCTTGTCATGACTCTAAGGAATCTATGCAGGTCTACAAACAGCACTGCAAAATAGCAGAAGAGTACCACGAGGTCAAGAAAGAAATTGCTCTGCTGGAAGAAAGAAAGTGAGTAACTTTCCCACAGTATTTGCTGTTGTACATTCTCTTTGTAAAGCCCTAGTCTGAACTTGTGTATCTCAGATGATATTTTCTGACCTTATTCTTCTGCCTGACAGTCACAGTTAGATCATTAGTCCTTAGGATCAACTGGGACCGCTAAGGACACTGTGTTGTCATAGCTCTGGGCCCTCAGTTATGCAGCCCACTCCTAAAACCTTCATTGACAGCTTCTAGGACACTTGTGTCTTTGTTACATAGAAATCTAGTTCAGCTGGTGCAAGTCTCCTTGTAGTTTAAGGATTTTTTTTCAACTTAACTTTATATAATGACGAGTATATGAGTCCTTACTCCGGTTGAGATTACTTGACTTATTATTCACCAACATTGTTCTTTGGGTTGTGTTGCCTCTATGTACATTCACATTTTAGGAGTTCATATCCAAACTACTTAAGCAGGAGGCTTTGGGGGGGGGGGGGGGGAGAGGGAGGGCAAGACCTGTACTCATACTCCCTCCATCTTCACGTGGCTCTTAAATGGCACAACGTATTCAATGACTCTCAGTTCCTCTCCACAAGAAACCTGACAAAGACATTCTGAGAGAGACGGGGAGGAGAGTCAGTAGTGAGTGTATTTCCCAGACAGCCAAGCCCACGGAATAACAGTTACTGCTAGGTACACTTTCTGTCTCCTTCAAATGCTTTTCTGTTTTCACATTCACACTGGGGTTGACTCCAAGCGACATTGCCTTCCTAAAGGAGAGTTACCTCAGTGTGGACCTCTGAGTCTTCTTGAGAAAATAAAACCCACACATTCCTCCAAAGGCTGCATGATGTTTCTGTGATGGTGCAGTGCATAGTGAAACAGGGAAAGGAGCTCTTTGTAGTGTAGTAACAGAGGTTGCATGAGCTCTGGCAGAGAGGGCTGTGAGCAGAGAGGAGGAACCACTGTCACTGTTTCATAGCAGCCTCAGTACAGTTGACCATGCAGTTCAGCTGGCTTTGCATCCATGGGAGCCCTCAGCTGCAGAAGCATGCTGGTAGGGAAAACTGTTGAAATGCTGTCGTCTTAGCAGTACAGATAGCCAAATATCTCCTTGAATCCAAACTACACAGGGTGAGAAAGCGGGACTTATCTTTATCGGGGTTGATGGCTATAGACATAGTATGGTCAGTCTTTGCCTAACATGTTGGAATTAACTTGAGGGTTCCCATTACCGAATCCCCTTCCGTTGTAGGACTTTCATGGCACTCAGTTGCTGATAGATTAACACAGAGGTTAACAAAAAAATAACCAACAAAGATTGACACTAAGTTCTCCCAGGGTTTGCATCTGATGTCTTGTTAACTAAACTTGGCCAATCAAAAGTAATCGGTGAATGAAAAAAGCTGAATATAGTATATATTTAATTCAAATAGTTTTACAATGATTTGTCAAACTGATTGTCTAAAGTAAGCTGCTTACCTGCGTCTTTAGTGGGAACTAAATTCTTCCGTGGGAACCATGCGTGTTTGACTTCCCTAAAAATCCAAACCGAATATAAAAAATTAAATGGTGATTTAAGTGCTTAACTTTACATGTATAAACTCAAAAAAGCTAGCAGTAGATTATCTGTTTTTCAGGGCGTACTAATTGCATTATTATTATTGACACATGCCTGAATTAGCTATGCACATTTACAAGTAAACTTGAGGCTCTTGAAGGCTAGACTCATATGTTTGCACCTATTAGAATGAAATTTTGACTGCATTTTTGCACATCTATGCAATCTATGGTACCAGCCATTTGCTTCTTGGCAACGGCAGATACATGCACAAAATTGTTTACCTGAACTCAAAACTGCCCTAATCAACCCTGTGAGACCCAAAGGGAGTCTCTCAGCCGTGATCATCCTGGATGAATTAAAGGACCTCAAACTGGCATTTTTCTTAACTCCATCAGCGGGGGGTCAACACTGGAACAATGTGAAGAAGCTTCCGTTATTGCTACCTTTGCTGAACCTGTTCTATGTGTATAAAAGATTTCACTCCTCAGTAAACATAGGTTAAAACAAGAGTGGCTGAATAAGGGAGCAAATTCCCTTATTGGTATTCTTATGTACCTCCTAATTACATATTTGTGGCCTAGATATTCACATCCTATGTAGCTGCAAAGTGCCTAGACCTTAAGATGTCAGTCCAGCACCTTTCACCACCTTCTAAGTCTCCTAATCTGAAGAAGTGGTCCTACAAGCACTAGAATTAAGGATACCTTATTTCCTACAGATTGGTGTGCTATGATTGTTTGATTTTGAGGTCGAAAAATGTGCAAGTGCCAACTGAAGTTTTTTCCCCAGCTGGGAACCGTTTATGAAGTCTCCTTCCAGGTGGATTCTCCTGTGTGTAGTATTTTGAGGGAGGGCTCATGATGCTGCCTTTCCACCCTTTGTAGTGTCTTTCCTTTCTGTAAACATGTTTTCATAAAACCTGTCAAAAAACAACTCTTTGTGAGACATCTTCATCCCCATCAAATTTGGTTGAAAGTGGAAGGTGGATTCAAAAGTTATTAGGGCACATCTACCTATATACACATATGTAAGCATGCATGACCTGACCATGTTAACCTTGATTTTGTATAAAACTAGAAAGTTAAGTCAGTATGTATGCGGAGGTGAAGGAGTCAGCAAGAAGTAAGAGGGTTTTTGTCCCGTGATCAGTGACTTTTTTTATATAAAAATGTTCTCAACAATAATAGTTTGAAAGTTGAAGGAAGTTTATGGGGTAGCATATGCTGAATTGAAGAGGTCAAGACTGGATCGCGATGGCTGGGATGACATGCATATTGAATATTCCATTCTCAGAAGAGAAAGCTGTTTTGTCTTTTAGAAAAAAAGTCTGATGAGGTGCATGGCTTTGAGTCTCAAAAGTGGTTGTAATCAAATTGAAAGGGTGGAGTTGTTTGGAGCTTTCTGAAACTTGAGCAGATTGGAAACAATTGCAGATGTTTTGATCTTATTCTATATTTGAAATTGAAGGTGTGGAGATGTGGATTCACAGTTGCCTAATACACTTGATATCTATAATCTATTTCTTTTAAATATTAAATGCAATAAAATGGACAAAGATAGAGTTTTATTCCTTATAATGTGAATAAATAGTAAGTTTTGCACTGTTCTTCAATGTACATTTTTACCAAATGCAACCAGAAGTGCTGGCCGATGATTGCCCTGCCATTTTTCTTAACTTCCTCTCAACAGATTAACTCATTTGTGGAAGTCAAATGTCAGGTCTCACCTGGCAGTGCCTGCACCTGTGAAGCCTACTAATAGAAAACTGTGTAGTCAGAAGACTGATGAGGATTGTCAGGATTGAAGCAGAAAATGGATTGCGCAAATTTTTTGGCTTTGATGGTTAGGAGAAAGAAATCATTTTAAGTTAACCTGCCGTAAATGTTCTTAGGGGTGTTGGAGCTTTTTAGTAAGACAAAAAATGGAATGATAGTCATTCTGCTTCAAACAAAATGATTTTTTTTTCCCAAACTCCAACGTTCATATATAAAAGTAAACTTTTATATATAAAATAATACATATAGGTATATTTTTAAAGGAGGTATGTTTAAGAAAAAGAAAGTTGAATAACATTGTTTTAAAACAGTCACAACTTATTTACTCTTTCAAAACTTTTAAAAGGTTTTTAATTCTGCTAAGTTTGACTTGACTGTCATTATAGTGTAAGAATTATGCATGACTGAAGTATGGAAAGGTAGTGGTGTAAAATGACAAGGGTGGCTTTATGTCAGAGCAAGAACAGGAGCTTATTTACCCCTTTCTCTTGTATACAATGAAGATGGCAAGAGAATGTACTGGGCTAGGAGGGCGAGAGAAGGTGACACTATTTCCCAGGAAAATAGGAAATGTGTGAGAGGGAAAGGAAGGCTGCAGGTTCCTGTCCTCCTGTTCTTGCTCTGACATATACAGTTAAAAAAAAGGGGGGGGGGGGAAGAAATCACAGGGCAAAGGAAATGAGAAGTCAAAAAAGGATGTAGCTCAGGAAAAAGACAAAATCTAGGAAGAATTTGAAAGAATTTAAAAGAAAATTGGTTAGATTTTTTTGCTAATATAAATGTTCATAGCTCTGTTTGCTTTCTTCACTCAAACTATGCCCATTTATGCCAACAAAATGTAGAGCGAGGGACAAAATCAGTCTGGAATGGGAGATATGATAGAAAAGAAAGAAAAGGGTGTGGAAGTGAGAACACACCACATTTAGGTCACAGAATGTAATTTAATTTATGTTCCAGAAACACACATGTATTTCCATAACAGATGTTTTGGGGTATCTAAGTTTGGGTGAAAGGGATGGGATGGCTGGTTATTTTGAGCACTTGTTATATTGCTATTACTAGATAATGACCCTGGATTATGTAGTTAAATATTAGCGTTGCCATGGTTGCTAGCTATATCTTATATTCTTAGCTCTGGCTGGTTTTCTCTTTTTCCTCCCCCAGACAATTCTAATATAACTCTCCAGAAAATATAATTTGACCACCACCTGGTTTAGGATCACTCCTTTTCTTTGTCATGGATATGATTTATTTTCCTTCCTTTACATATATTACTGTTGACATGCTGCGGAGCTGTCTGCTTAATTTTGTGGGGTCCTTCCTTATGCTTTAGCATGCTTTGATGATCCTGGGAGCACTTCCAAGGTCCCAAGTCCAAGTGGTTTCTCCAGGTACACTGTGTCTAGACTGTCTCTCCCAGCACTGCTGAGGCAAGTAGTCTTCAGACTTGCAGGTACTGCAGAAAAAAACTGGTATAAACCATAAAGATAACAACCTTTCATCTTACTAATATGTCCATTCTAGACCTGACTTTTCCTCAATTTACACATACCCAAAATACCGTTACCTGCCAAATCAGTGACAATTACAACTTTTCTAATACAAAGAAAAACCTCAACCTGCCCTATTGCATCAATGAATACTTTCCTTTTTCTGTGCTGGCATCTGAGAAATACTGTCATTACATTAAAACTGCTATGTGCATTAAAACTGGCTATCCCATTGTTTTAAAAATTAGTTACTAGACTTTGTTTAAACATGCAAAGGCAGTCTTCCCAGACAGCAGCTAGCTCACTGGGGTCTCCTGTTGCCTTCTGATGGAAAGCCGTGCCAAACACAGAATGAGGAAGGAACCTTACGGCACTGCCACCAGAAGGCACAACCCCATGTCACCTGGAAAGAACTGTGTAGTACCACAGGATCCTGAATACATTGTTCACAACTGGGAAAAGGCAAGTCTGTCTCTTCACACTGGGGAAGTTGTTTTCCTTGAGTCCAATCCATCTCCAGAAACACTTACCGCCAAATACTCTTATCTGCTCCATTTGCTAAAGATGAGCTAGCAGGAATAACTTGTCTTGGTATTTATTCAATGGGTATGTTGTTGTAAGGTTGCTCAGTGCTCCACATAGGTAGTCATTAAGGCCAGGACAAGAGACATAACTTCACTAAGGCCATGCTAGGTTTTTTTTTTTGTTCCTGCTCTGGTGTGGCTTGTGGTTTTTGGTTTCACGCTGGTCTTCCCTTCCCACTCCAACACCTCCCTGAAAAAACGAACACTGAAAGTGTACATTACAGATTGTCTCAAAGCTTCAAGTACCTTGGCACCATTTTAGAAAATACTTTGTGAATGCTGTTAATGTTTAAACACAGGATAACCATTAACAGAAAACACAGATTACACAATGCTAGACCCATTTATTAAGCATCCATAACAAAGGCTAGATGGTGCAAGAGCTTAGTGTGGTGTTCTTTAACCTCTGAAAGCTAGTTCAAATCCTGGATTAGATCAGAAGCAAATGTTAGTTAGTGTCCTCATCCTTTTGTGAGCTTCGTAAACCACACCATTCATAACATTTAGCAATTCTCTGGTACTCTAATTTTAGATCTCTGTGGCAGGCTGGCAGTATTTGCTTGAAACATCACCCTACCCTTTAAACAGGTGTTGATCCTGATGGGAAGGGAATAAGTAGGTTCTGCTGACTCAGAAGCGGGCAATTTTACTACCTCAGTGTGAGGAAGCTTCTTTCTGGGAGAGAGGTTCCAGAGCACGGGCTACAGAAACAAGTATGCTTTGATCTTAACTCATTTTTGATTTTGTTTAATAGGAAGGCTGAATCCCAGGAAGTTATCTGTGCTGCGTGAATTTTAATGGAAAGCAGCATGAAAACTATACTTGCTCACAGCCTCCTCTTATCAAATCAGGACTGACATTCATTAATAGAGCTGTTTGATTTTGCATACTGTTTGCCACTGCCAGTCCTGGCTCAAGTCCAGCGAAAGTAGTTGGCACTTTCTTTTATGTGTACTAAGAGTTGGCATGGAAAGGGTCTTACCTGCTTTTAAGATGCTCATTACTTATTAGTGTGTTTGCTGCACCTCCCTTTAAGAACTTGATAAGCATAAGAAAAGTAAGGAGGAATGATTCTGAATTTTTTTTTTTTTTTGGTACACTTTTGAGTGAACAGTCTGTAGCTTGAAACAGTTTCATCCTTCAGTCCAGCATTGCCCAAGCAGAATGATTGCAAAGAAATAGTACGGTAGCTCACTTTTGATCTCAAGAAACAAAAATCTTCCAGTGGAAGCTCCACGTGACTGAAGTAATTAAAACTAGTAGATAAAATCCGATTTTCCTTAGATACGTTTCTTACTCTCTAAAATATACTTGCAATTACTTATTTGTGGTCTCTAGTCCCATTAATAGGGGCTGGAATGTTGAACTTTCTAAACAGACCAGTTCTTCTTGGCCAGTTTGAAAATTGGTTGGTCTAGCATGGCCTGAGCAAAGAAATAAACCTGTTAATGGCTTGCTCCTTTTACAAATTTTACAGCTATATTATGCAAACATTAATAGAAGTCTGCTAAACAAAAACATAGCCTTAATATTTTCTCTTGACAAATTGTTCAAATATACCTGGTGAATATATCTTATTCCTGATGAACGGAAAGAGAAGAGGTCTTTGGTATAGCATAGCAAAGTGGTGTAAAACAAAGCTGACTTATCTAGTTATGGGAGGATTTCTGTATACTTCAACTCTTGGATGATTTAAAATCGCTACTGGCAAGGGCTGCTACTCTCCCTAGTTGCTTTTGTATGGGAAACAGTGGAGAGGAATGTGCGTTCCAGGGGTCTCTTCTAAGATGCGACCTCTCCGAACTGCAGTAACTATGGCTGTAAACAACCACCTAAGCCATGAGCAAACTGTGCTATCACTGAAAGCTGTAATAAACAGAGTTGAGATTAAACTGATCCTGAAAGAAGGCTAGACTGAAGAACTCTTTTTCAAAACCCAGGTGCTTACACAGTGTCCTTTGTAATAGTTTTGCAGCTATGTAAGTGACATGCAAATATTGAAAAGCCAGCATTTTATGAATACTCTGTGACCTGCAGAGACAGACTTACTAGTCTGTTAGAATTTCCTGTCTGCAGGCACCGGTCTAGCTTGACAGGGGGGCTGGCCAGCAAGAACACCCCTTTAGAGACTGTGGAAAAAGCTGTCCACTTTGAAGACATTACATCTTCCCACTGATGATCTACCAGCATTGTTTTGGCATGACTGGGAAATAAAGTCACAGGGCTATGAACAGCTAAAGATTAACTAATCTCGGAGATAGGATGATCAAAAGAGCTAAGAACCTTTTAAAAGAGATTTCCTGTAGCAGGGGTGAAGAAATGGTCCGAGTTAAAGGGGAAAAAAAAGGCATAGGCCAGGCTAATCTGCTGGGTAACTAAGTGGAGAGCGATTAGATAGCCAGTGAGTTACTCACGCATTCAGTGTGTTCTGTTGTTGTAAGACCTCTTTTATCTTAACTTCTGCTGAGGTAATTTCAATTGATGCTGTACAGGAGACTTCAGCTTCTGTTCAGCTCTGGGAATACAGGGAGCTGTGCGACTCCATCCTAGAAGAAGCAACAGCTTAAATCCTCAAGTGTCTGCTCTTAAAAGGACCAGGAGGGGTCAGGTTTGCAGTTTGAGAACTCTGCTCCTCAGCAGTAGAACTAAGGTCTGCATGTGTCTAAAATCAGTATAGAAATGATATATGTAGCTCAGATTCATATGCCTAGTATTTACTAGGAACATTATGGCAGAGAAAAGGAAACCAGGCATAATTCACAGAATCTGATAAAGCCAGCCAGCCAACCAACCAACCAAAAAAAAAAAACAAAAACTTTGCCCACTTTCAAATACATTTTATATTGAGAAAAAAATACATTTTTATTCATCTTATGAGCCATACAGGCAAAATGTTAGCATATGGTCTCCGGGGACTCGATTCTCCCCAATGTGCTGCATGTTCATTTCTAATTGAAATTAAAGCTATTTGAAGATTCTCAGCATTTTGCAGGTTTGGTCACTGAAGAACAAACATATCAGAGATTTTGACAGCTAAATGTTTCAAAGGAAAAGGAAGATTCTAATAAATTAGTTTTCTAGGCCTCTATTGCTTAGTTAATACCGTATTAACAACTTATAGTCCAGCTCTAACATAACACATAATACATTTTTGTATACTTCAATTTTTAACCTATATTTTTTCATAATCGTCAGAAAGGAGCTGATTGCCAGGCTGGAACAAGTGGAAAAAGAAAGCATGGATGCTGCTCAGCTGGCTAAGGAGTATGCAGAACTGACAGAGGAGAATCGAACACTGAAGCTGGCCCAGACACAGTGTGTAGAACAACTGGAAAAGCTCAGAATACAGTACCAAAAAAGACAGGGATCCTCATAACTCTCAACAAGCTTATATGAGGCAGTATAATACAGTTCCTGCGCTGGAAAGAGATTTTAAAATAAAGGTCTGTTTAATATGTTATAATACTTTACTACAGATACAGAATATGTAGAAGTCTATATTTGATTTAATGCTTGCCAGTCAGTAGCTTAATATAATGGATATTTCATCCATTATATAATGGATATTTTATTTCAAGTAACATAATTGAAGTTAATCTATCCCCATTATATGTTCTAGTAGATCAGGTTTCTTTTCTAAACATATTTCTTCCAATTTAAGAAGATACGGACACACTAGAAAATGATATAAATAGTCTCTGTGTTGGGAATCTGGACCATACTAAGGCATACAGCAGGGGCGATGCTAATATATGGAATACATGTATGTTAATTTTAGTTTGGTGGAGATTTTTTTAATTATTTTCCTCATGCCTAAAGTGTTTGGAAGTTATCTTAAAATGGATCTCCTTATGGGTAAAAAAAAATCATGCTTTATTAGCCCGTATCTACTCTGAAGTGTTGTATAAAATTCAAGAAATTGCTCATTAAAAAATTAAAGTAACACAATTACTTTTTATCAAGTGAGTGTATTGCCAGTAATAATTTGCAAGTTATGAAATTGAAAGGAAACAGATGAGATCAAATTTTCCTTCCTCAAGCATAAAGATAGCTTGTGAGTCTTTTTTTTTGTACTTTTTGGCATGCAAGAAACGAAAACATAATATGTAAGCGCTACCATCATAGTTTCAACTGAGAATATGGCAGTACAAGTACCATAAGGGTATTTTGTTCTTATTTTCTGGGCTGTTTTGAAACGTAAGTGGCTATAAGTAGAGACAGGAGTTCTGTGACATACAAATAACCTGGAATTAAAATATTTGTTTTACTTGCTCTATTTATCCTTTTATTTTCCTAGATCAATTGAAAATTGTTTGTTATACTTCCATTTCTATTCATACAATATTTTTTTCATTAAAAGCAGATATAGAAAAGGCATTTTATGTTCTGAATGTTCTTAAACCACCCTGTATTTTTAACTTCGCTTGATAGACTCAGCATTGGCAGCATTATGAGGTTGGAATTCACATGTGTCACTAGTACTAAAATGTATCTTAATAATTGAAAGCTATGAACTTAAGAATTCCACAGGAACCTTAGCTTTGATTATTATCACTAATCTGTTAGAAAAATGGGATTTTAGGTTAATCAGAACAATTCCCGGGGAAGTCCTTTGGCACCAAAATGTTCCCCAGCAATTCTGGCAACAAAGGGGACAAACAAAATATAAGTTGCCTCTTTGTTTCTCTGTGCTGGCTACCTACATTACACCCGGCAGCACAAGAGTGAGAACAAGCTGCACGTTACTAGTAATAGCCCAGGCAACAGGAGGAGAGTACAAGGAGGTTGCGGAGGAGTCCAGCCTTGAATTCGCTTCTCCTGAGCCGCCAGGGCACTGTACGTGCCCAGCGCTGCTTGTGCCCCAGCCAGTGCAGAGAGACAAAGGGAAAACACTGCTCCAAGGCACGTGCTTTCTCCTGGGATGCCTGGGCGATAAAACCCAGTATTCCTCTTTCAGAGCACATTGTTATCTGAGGGTCCGCTTTGTCTTGTGGAAGTTGAAGGGGAAAAGCATAATGGATAAAAAAAAGTAACATGTGGGATGTCAAGTATGGGAATGCTGGAAGAGCCTTGATCTGAGTTTTGCGCTGATGGCGAACATACCCTGTACAGTCGTCTTGGTTTTGCTTTGAGCACAGGACGTGGCAGAATTTGGGATGTATTCTTCGTTTCTTTATTTACATGTTTCAAAAACGGGAGTATCCTTTTCAAAATGAATGTATGGATTTAGTCACAGATTTTCTATCTAGCTTTGAAAACATCAGATAGTCTGTTTGGTACTGATTTCAGACGCAGACTTCCACAGTAGTCAAGAACTTAGACTACGTTGAATTCCACAGAAATATATTAACACAAATTCACTTGAGTACCCCAGTTCTTCAAATAGGAATTTTAAATTCGGTGAAAACTGGACAAAATATATACAGTTCTCTTATTATCTGACTGATTGTGTGGAAATTGGCCAGGGAGCATAACTTTACCCACCTTGAAATTTTCTAGTTAAGTACAGCCATTATGTTTTATATGTCAAAATAGTCTCAAATCATACTTCCTGAGAAAAGTCCAAAGGAGGGCCACATTCATGCAGAGAAGAAATAGCCCGCATTTTTGACACATAGTCAAAAGATTGAAAGAAGCCAGGGAAAGAAGATTTGAAAGAAGCCAGGGAATATGAGTCTTCTAACTTACAGATACTGATCAATAAGGAAGTCTTTGGGAAACATTTTTACAGGTGCACAGACACTAAATTCATGGTGTGGTCCAGTTACCACCCAGGATAAATATAGAACTCTCTAAACACCAAACTAATTGAAGTCATAGCTCTGTATTTAATCTGGTCTTTAACTGTTTGCAATCAATTTTTTCCTCCTATTTTTAGTTCTGGTGCAAAGTCAAAAATAGCTGTTTCGTATGCACATATTTACATGCCAGCATAGATGCTCATGTGTCTGAGAATAGTGACTCAGAGAGATTGCATCACAATCCAAATGAGTAAAACTAAAATAGAACTACCTGGGAAGAAAAATTAAAGTGTATCACAGAAACAAAGTAAGAAAAATTAAAGGAGAGATGTTATTCAAAGATAAGAGGGGTAGAGGAGTGTGATTTTCCAAAAATATTCATAGACAAGTGAAATTAAAATGCAGAAAAGACAAGATAACCCAAAAAGTCACTTAAATTTTGCCAAGAGTAAAAATGGCTAGAACAGCCTTCTGAGAGGTAAAAGCTGTATCTATCACTCATCTCTTGATTTTTAATGTTAATTAAAGTGATGATAAACGTTTTCATAGTCAATGACCTCTGATTTTGACATGCTGAATTCTTCTGTGGATGTTAGTTTGAAATGGTCAGCTCTGCTGGCTCAGTAATTGAATTTTTTTTTTTTTAAAGAGAAGATTTACTCTCTTGTTGTTATTATTTACACAGTATTTTCCAAATAGGTAACATGATTTGTGTCCTTCTTGTTACTCAAGGTGAGACCTTAAATCGTTCTGCTTGCTAGGTCCATTTTAAGTGTAATACAGTAAAAAAAGTGTTTTACACAATTATTTCAAAGATGTTTTGACTCTGCATTTTACCCAAGAACTTAGAAGCCAATTTCAGCTTCTGAGTTCAATTCCCAATGAAGCAGTCAGTTTTATAACTTCTGACCAATGCCTGTAATGACTGCAGTCATATTCAGCAACACCGCAGCGCCGTCTGAAACTTTTGGTTACATTTCACCAGTGGTCAGAATGCAAGGAAACACCAGTGAAAAGCTCAGGTGACAAAAGTGGTTTCTAAATGCGTAAAACTACATAGACACAGTCTGTTAGATGCAGTGTGTTTCTTTGTATTACTCAGGTTATTCAGGATAACAAAAATAAACGTGTTATTACCCTGACAAATTCAGTTGCCTCAGATCACTTAAGAAAACAGTCAGTGAAGTACATGGGTTTAAAAAAACAAGACCTGTGCTTTCCATTTCCCATTATTACTTACTGACTTCCTTCCATCGTTACAAATGCTGAACAAGCTTATTTTTAAGTATTCCAGTTAGCAAGGATATGACTCATGCAGTCTTGAAGCTGGTAAATTCTTGGGTGATTTTACACTTGAAAAATCTTGAAAACAAAGACCTACAGGTGGTTTTTTGTTTGTTTGGTTGGTTGGTTAGTGTTTGCCTTTCCAGGATTATCTCTATTCTCGCTGTTTTTGTGAATTAATTGTCTTTGGAAACGTCCTTCCTTCCTACCCTCCCACCGATTGCTTTATTGCTGTATAGGGCTTTGTGAGCATTTTAAGTCGTTGACAGTGGTTAGAAACGCACAAAGATGAGACGGACAAGCATTTTCAAGCTTCCTTTAGACTATATGGTTGGGGAGCTCTGGCATGTGCCCATTTGCTGCTAGAACTCCAGTCCCAGACCACCTCGGAGAAAGGAGCTAGTCTGACCTGGTCTTTGGTTAGAGAGTCACATGGTATTTTCCCCACAAACATTGCCTTGCTTGTTCAATGCACGAGATGGACCTACCTAGAGGGGCAGGGGAGACTGCTGTCTGAAGGGGCCCTGGCACTGTTGTCGGGGAGGGTGCAGAGGGTGCGGTGATTGAGGAAGAGGATTGCAGGAAAAGAGAGAGTGGTTCAGGCAGTCACGTGGCAGGAGGATCGCTAGCCCCAGCCAGCAGGACGGTGAGGAAAATTGACTGAACCTGCGTAGTGGCATCACTTTCCTTCCCCTTGCATGTACTCCCACATGCTAGCCACAGTGTGTTGGGGGGGTGGGGGGGCAGTCTTTGCCCTCACATTAGAGCTTTTATGTCCATATACACATAGAAGAGGGGCATAGAAGATGCCAAATAAATGTCATTGAGCTCCAATTTCTAAAGGCAGCGAGCATTAATATCTGCACTTAAGTTTACAAAAGTTACACTCTCAGCCTTAAACTGCTCTGTGGTGTTAAATGCTCTGGGGAAAAGATGAACAAACAAGCAAAGTATCAAAGACTGCACATCCAATATGAATGGCCATTTTGTGCTTTAATCTCTGTATGCTTCAGTTCCATTTAAAAGGAGGGGATAGGAGGACAAATGAGAATAATAATTTATCTTACAAGGTACTGTGTAGGGGAAGTAATGTGAGATATCCAAAGATAAAACAGTGGAAACATCCTTGGAAAGCCCATGATGTCACCATGGTAGGGCTGGAAGGCATGCAGTGATGAAGGTCCAGGGCTACATATTGAGCAAGGAGGACAGTGCAGATTATTGAACAGCTGGCCCCAGTCGTCCCTCCTTGAATGTGGCTGGGCTTCTCTGGTAAAAGACCAGGCAATGGGATTGTAAGACTTTACCATAGTTCACACTAAGGTGGGGAGGGAATCCAGCTAAAGTTGGATGGGTAGCCTCAGTCTTATTCTTTTCTCCTCTGAGCCCTTGATTTTGCAGTCTTAAACTGCAAATTATTGAGATGATGCTTAGATACATACCAAAACTGTAAAACTGATATTTTAAATGTAAAGTAGACAATTATTTTATAATAATGAAAAAAATAAAATCAACCTTGTCTGGAGCAACCACAATCACCTATAGGTTCTTTACTGTTCTTTAAAAGGAATGTCATGGTTATATTCAGTATGTTACACCTATTTACTACCCATATGAATGAAAGATGGCAATCATTCACAAAATACTGTTCACTTTGACCCAAGGTTTCTAGGCTGCACAGTCGAGTGGTTTAAACTGTAGAAAGCACAAGATTTAGTCTATGAGTCACTCAGCACTTCTACACGCCAATCATCAGTTCTCCCTTCTGAACCTCGGTTCCTTTAATTGCCCCCGACCACAAGCCACGTATCTTCCCCCGCTCCTGAGTAAGCAGCATCAGTCTGGAACTCGGATCCAGTTGACCAGTTACGTCATGACATGGTCTGGTGATGGCTGTGTGCTTCACAGAGCTGCCGAAAGTTACAATTGCAGAGTGTTCTGGGATTTGGGATGGGTATACGGCAGCAAGGCGTTCTGCCAGCATGCAGGGCGTGACTGAGAGATACTTTCTGTTTCTTTAAACAGCGTAGGGAAATATGTGAACATGTGGTCTATGGATTTAGTGACTTGTCTGAATTTTATATTATATTTTAATACAGAAATTAGGGAAATGAAAGGAGGATGTGTGTGCTGAAGTAACAAATGTATGGCCAGATGTGAGACTATCTCTTGGGTGCTGAGAATGAGTATGGCGATGTGAGAACTGTGAGTGACAGAAAGGAAGTAGTTACAGCTAAGAAGAGGAACCAGTGAGTGGGCTATATGCCTTAGCCACTTGCTTTCTTGCTCTTTATGGCTTGCATCAGTGGGATGCAGAGACTGTTATCCTTAACTCAACATATAAAAA